GCCTTAATGACCTTCAGCGTGTACGGGTCCAGGTTGTAACGCGGCCCGTAAAAGTCCAGGGCGCCGTCCAGCACGCCGAGCAACGCCTCCAGCGCGGCGTCCAGCGCCGTCGGCGTGTCGTCCGCTGCATAGGCGCCAGTGTCAGGCTCGGAACCACGTGGCGTTGGGCGCATTGTTTCACTTTTGGATAAAATGCTCAGTTTTTAAGGACCATTTAGGCACTTAACACCGTCGTTGCCAACGTCTATAATTAAGCAGTTTGGATTTTGTATTGTTCAGTTGCAGCATGCCATGTGCGATCAATTTCGTTGGACTATTCTACACGGTACCCAACTCTGTAACATGATTGGCGAAATGCCAACGCGTGGGGACAATGATTGGGGAATACTCGGGACGGGGGGCGGGTTGACTCACAATTTTGGACTCAAAAGCTGTTCGACTCAGCCAGTACGACAAGCCCGGCCTGCAAACCCCGGTACTCACTAGGGAAGTGCGGGTCGACGCCGAGGTCGTTGAGAAGCTCCATCAGATCGCGGACGATGCGTTCGGCGGCTGTCTGCGCCTCGATGTCCCGGCGCTCCAGGCGCTTGATGGTGGTCACCAGCGCGTGGAGGTCGGCGTCGGCCTTAGCGATCTGCTCCGGGCTGAAGCCAACCAGCGGCCCCAGCAGGGCCATCGCGGCATCGAACGCCTCCTCCAACAGCTCCAGTAGTTCGTCCAATGTCATACTGATGTCTGTAATGGCAGAGTGGAACAGCATGGGAGGGTTGTGACACCTGAAGTGCTGGTTTTAGCATTGTAACAACCCCTGCATTAGTCAAGTTAGTTGCATGCCAGGAATAGGATAACTGCAGATTTACCACGGAAACAAGGATGAGGGCAGTGGTGATAGTCTGCTTTGCAGCTGGTCATGATTGAACAACATACATGTGCATATTTCAACTCTGAGCTTCCAAGGGCGTGATATAAAATGAACAGGATTTTTTGTGTAACCACCATGTCACTGCACACATTTATAACATACTGTTTCATTGCATCTAAGGAAGCACACTTGCAAGTTTGCATTATTGAGCAATAAATTTTACAGATCCCACCAGCATTGCTGCCAGACATTTGTTGGTCAGTAGACATAAACACATCTCAAGTTAAATGTTATTATGACAGCAGTATTAACTTCAGGATAAGACTTACATTGTACTGGGAAAAACTATGCAATGTTTGCTTTCATCATCTACAATGCATTACAATGGGGCACTTATGATGCCCTGATGGATCGCTGCATTCTAACATGTAGCTAAGCTACAAAACAATTGGTGCATTGTGATAAAGCAGTAAGATCATGTCATCATGCTCTGTATGGCTGGAATTGGAATGCCTTGAAACTCAAATATTGGGAAAATTAAAAGATGATGAGAGGCAAAGGCAAAGACATCATACTTTTCCAGGGAGAGTGGGTGTATGACTCAGGACCTACTCACAAATCCAGGCTTTCCTATCTAAACCTTTAGGAACTCCCCTTGATTTTTGTATACATTTAGACAGTTTCCCTAATCCAGGTGTATTAAACCAAATAACATATTCTCTTGGACATCTGAGGCCTCCTGTGGGAGTAGATATTGTTACCTGCATACATGCTACAAGAGCATGTAGGAATTTGACAGAATGTACTATCTGCCATCTAGGGCTGCCTCCCAATATGATATAGCCTGTTAGATAGCCTTGATATGGCTTGATGTTCACAGGGAAGGGATAAAATGTACATATACTTATTTTAGCCAAACACAATGACTGTGACTGCCCCTGGCAATACTAAGTAGCTTAGCTACATAAAGCATTATATTACCTGCACAACCATACTTGCAGATGACCTGTTTCTTGCTACTTTCTATGAGCTTGTGTATGACATTGCACAAGTCTGTCACTATATGCTTTACCCAAGCAACATTCCCATGTACACTCAAATTACAAACATTAATGACAAAACATGCCAAGTGTCGCTCAATATCTTTGAGATTAGCATCCACAAGCTGGGCAACATTCAGCTGACCAAAAACTTTTGTGGATAATTTTGACAAATTAACTAAAGAAACCCCCAAGATAATATTTCTGTTGCTGACCATCTCAGCTGTTACTTCCTTATTCCAGTTGTATGCGCATCACCACTGACGTCCAAAAAAAACTACAGCATTGACATCACACACAAACATGTGACGGCTAGATGTGTATGCATGATTGCATTTATTACTTGGAGCTACATATGTGTGACCAATTTCACATTGCTGTCCGAATGCATCAACAGTTAGATTTTCCACCAATAACACAATGCAATTGCGCAGCACCAGAGACCGCTAACCACTGGGCTCAAGGCTTTCTAACAGTTGGGCTTGTTTGGGTCTGCCGATTTGCTTACATGCGCCATAAAAGAAGCGTTTGGCAACAAAGGAAGACAGTATCAAATTAGTTGTGCCGAAATGCCGACGGGTGAAGCTCTGGTTCATGGGCGCAGGAACAAGGTGGTGAGGGAGCCATGGGCGTAGGAACAGGGGGCGAGGGGTGCCAGCAGTGTTAACTGCCCCCCACTTTTCGGATAAAGGCTAGGACAGGCATGGCTTGGCCTGTTAATACACATGGCTGACGGCTCGATCTGCAATCAAATTTTTATCTTCAAATTTTGATTGGACACATCGAACTAATTTGCCTTTGCAGTGTTCTTAATGTCTGCTGTAGAACCCAGATCACAAATTATGATAAGGCCTCTGAATTCTATCGGTTCACAAAGTCGTCTACGTTGAATGATGGCCAATGAAATGTCCGTTGGACCGATTCATACCTAAGGTAGACAGCTTCCCGGAGGCCATTTGGTGCGGTGTACGGGAAGACAATTCGGAAAAAGGTACTGTTACAGGTGTCCAGCAAATGTTTCATATAGCAATTGGTAGTAATACTGATCCAAAAATGTGCAACAAGGCAGCCATGCGATCAGTTCACAGTCAGTCATGCGGGAGACAGTCAGGCCGGGGCGGTGGCCGCCGGCGCCGGACGGGAGCAGGGTCCAGATAAGAACCATACGACAGACAGGCCTTCATTATGTGACTTGGTGTTTAAAAGAGAATCGCCTGTTTTACGGTTTTTGTCACATGGTTTTTGGCCATTTCAAGTTTCCGAATTTGTTTCCGCCTAGAATACTGCGACAAATGTCATCTTTTGAAAAGAAGCCAGCGAAATCAAGGCGCATGAAAAATCTGTCATTGTGTGAGCCATTGATTCACTTTCGAAATTCTCACCATCCCACGTCCAGACTGTATTTTGGGGTCTCCCCTGCGGAGGCAAATGCCTCATTAATGACCTAAAATGCTTGCCCGCCAGTGGAATTTCGCCTCCCTAGAAACGACAATGTTGAAATGGACGAATAATCTTGAGAAGCTGCGTAGCCTTATTTGCCGAATGAAATAGATGCGTGGAATGGGCAAGATTGTGTGCCAGTAAGAAGCAGCTTTGGATGTAAATCTAGCTTAGCAGTCATGACATTTTGAATAAAGAGTGATAGCAAACTCCACCTCTACGCCCCCCCCCCCCCCCTCCGGTCATCGGGCTTGCTTTCCAGGCAAAGCTCCTGAAGTATACCCTGAGCCTGGCCATCCGCCTCTTGAAACATTCCCTACGCCTATATAGGGGCTATGTCCCCCCTCATACACGCACTTTTCAAGGCTGGGTCAGCAATTTTAGTTGGCTCCCCTCTTTTTCATATTTAATTTGCGCTTAGCTTGGGCAACACCACCGGAAGACGGCGCCAGGAGACGCGTCCCCATCTGTCTTCGGATAGAAAGGACGGTCCCCTCCCCCCCTATCCCAACAACCCCCTTGCATGTTGAAATGTGTTCTTGGCAAGAATCTTCATTGATAGGGACCACTTTTCCACCAGAATGAAGCTACATCCTATTTGTCAGCGTCGCATCTTTCTACTATATTGCTAAAGGAACAGTGTGTGTGTGGTGTGTGTGGTGTGTGTGTTTTGTGTGTGGTGTGTGTGTGTGTGTTGTGTGTGTGTGTGTGTGTGTGTTGTTGTGTGTGGTTGTGGTGTGTGTGTGTGTGTGTGTGTGTGGATGTGTGGTGGTGTGTGTGTGCCTGTGTGTGTGTGTTGTGGGTGGTGTGGTTGTGTGTGTGTGTGTGTGTGGTGTAGGTGTGTGTGTGGTGTGTGTGTGTGTGTGTGTGTGTGGGTGTGTGTGGTGTTGTGTGTGTGTTGTGTGTGGTGTGTGTGTGTGTGTGTGTGTGTGTGTGTGTGTGTGTGTGTGTGTGTGTGTGTGTGTTGTGTGTGTGTGTGGTGGGTGGTGTGTGTGGGGTGTGGGTGTGTGTGTAGTGTGTGTGGTGTGGTGTGGGTGTGTTGTTTGTGGTGTGTGTGTTGTGTGGGTGTGTGTGTGTGTGTAGTGGTGTGTGTGTGTGTGTGGTGTGTGTGTGTGTGTGTGGTGTGTGTGTGTGTGTGGTGTGTGTGTGTCTGCCATTTGAGTTAGATCATCTGCAGGCTAAACGGTCAGGAATTTTTCCATGAACTTCGCACATGACCAAGGCTCGCTTGCGGCGCGTGCCAGAGTCCTGTCAAAATTATGCATTTCGCAAAAATGAGCACGTGCTGAGCGAAACACGAGCGCAAAAATCCCCATAAGTTTAACACGGGCGACGCCAATTTAGCAATTCCGGCCGACGGCCCGACACGCTTCGCTTTCCGGAGCCGTATCTTTATAACGAATGGTCGCAGGGACGTGCAACCTGCACTGTGCGATAGCGCACGGAATGTGCCATCTTAATTTGGTAAGTTTTTTTCCGACACGTGACACGTAGCACGTGCACACGTGTTGACAAGATGGAATTGGCCGTTTTTGACACGGTTTTACGTTTAAGGTTATTTTCATTTCCCAACATTTACAATTGAAGCGGCTACATTTTCAGTGCGCATAGCGAGTTCGTGCAACGCACCGTTGCCCTACAAATTGCATTACAAATTGCAACGGGCTGAATTTTCAAAACCGAAGCTGAATGCAAGCCGCTGCCGTCAAAACTGTGCGTGATCTAGCGTTGGAAACTACATCGGCGTGTCGGCTGATTCGTTCTGTCTCTAATTCACTCTTATGATGACGGCGTTTTAAAAAAAACGTCGCTCGCAAATAGGCCTGGACTAAGGGGTTGCATCACGGCATTTTCGCCGCGGCGGCGGCAAGTTATTGCCCCGACTCCCGGCGCACGTCCTAGGCGTTAACGGTTAATGTGGGCGTTCGCGCGGCGGGCTTTCGACTTTGTTCATTTAGCGACGCTTCATATTAAAGAACGAGCACCCGGGCGTGTTTCTTGTCTGTACGGCGGTGGGCCGGCGGGCGGGTCGTTCGCGTGGCCGATCCCGGCCCAGGCATCGCGGTCGGCGGCGCGCTGTGCCTTGCGGTCGCCGTGCGCGGACAGGCACGGCTTTTGTTTCCCACCATTCGGAATTAACGCGGAGTTTCTGCAACGCAACGTTGCGCTGCAAATTGCACAAGAAATTGCAAGATGCCAAGTTTTAATAATCAAAATGGTACGGCCACACCTATCACACGGCACGACACCACAGATGGGTTTTGCTCTCTTCCACGGATTTGCACTTTTTGTGCCACATTTCGGCACCTACTAACACACCCGGGATTGCCGCGCTTCAATGATGAATGGAGGGAGCGAGATGACAATGTTTGGTGGCACGTGCCACATGTCATGGCGCCCATATGTTAAACCATGGATTTACACAACTTTGTTTTTTGAGGAGCTTGCACGTTTTCGTGATATCTCAGAAACCAGGGAGTAATGCACACAGGGACTGGCATGCTTCAGTAGGTGATTTAACGGGCAATCGCTGAAACGTGTGCGATGGCATGCTGCACGTGTCATGTGACACGTGCACATTAGCTGTGAAGCTGTATTTTGCCGATTTAGTCCATTTCTACGTTTTACGCGGGATTTCCGCTCTTATGGCACGTAGTGACACGACAGGAGACTGGCATGCTACGATAGACCATTGAACGGGAAATTCTACGGTCACATGTGCCACAGGTGCGGGGTGGCACGTTACACGTGTCGGCCACACACAAGCCAGGAAGATGGCTTTTGCTCTTTTCCGCGGGTTTACACGCCTTGTGCCACATCTCGGCACGCAGAGTGCGGAGCGACTGGGGAGTGGCGTGCATGAATAATAAAACGAACAGACGAAGACGTCGCATGATTTTCATGCCCCACATACTGCGTGTAACTCGTCCACGAGCCGGCGAGATAGATTTCGCCGTTACCGGCCGTTTTTCACTCTTCGATGCAATGCAATGCTGTTTAATATAACGGCAGTACGTGCTGCCATTATTCCAAAGGCTGACAGTTGATGGAAGGGGCAAATATCACCGGTCACACCCAAGACCATTCGCTCATCCCATGGAATATGTTCGGCTGTGTTGCAGGGAACGCGGCGAAATGCGCTCTCTGCTGCCAGCGGCCGCCAGAGACCGCCAGTACTGCGTGCGGCCTGCAACCAAGTCTCTTTCACACTTTGCGCAATATTTTGGCAACCAGGGCACCTAGGACCGTGATTCCAACTGCAAAATACACACAATGAAAATTTTCATATTTTGCATTAGCGCAGCGAAGCAAACGCGCAAGCGCTTGTTAATTATGCGACGTTACTGAGACCTATCCACATGATCACTGGGCGGGAGGCATTCTCCAGATTGACTGAGGGCGTTCAAATTTGTCAGTCCAGTGATTACAATTAAAAGGATATCACGAGGTTGCGCCTACTTTTCAGTGCCTCTCCGAATGCAAAATTTTATTTGCATTCTTTGGCTTAATAACTACGTGTTTAACGTTCCTTCGACCTTCGTCCTTAGCCTTGCACGATAAAGCTTCTATTTCAAATGAAGACAGCTAAAGCCAGGTTCGGTCCGCAGGTGCGAAGGGGAATTTATCCCCGCAAGGCTTTCAGAGCTTAGCGACAAAATTGTGGACGCGGTTCACGAAATTTTTAGTACCTTCGTTTTTGTCTTCTTACACCCTTTGTGGAAATTTTCCTGTCTGCGGCTGTGCCCGAGGTGGAACTACAAACAAATTGTAACCATCATAACTTGTTAAGAGATATGTGGCACGGACTCTGAGGACGCTTATAAAAGTGCGCTATGGTGTGTTACATGCATATGACATGGCTATGATCAAATCAACTTAGAATTCCCCCTAAACGAATGTGTCTATTTCCTGATCCCAACCTCACCCAGACCCAGTGTGATTTGTCATAACCCCGATGACTTAATTATTGTTCCAAGTTAAAACTGGCTGCGCCCACTCTGCTCCCAATTATGCGTTCTCTTCGCTGGTATTTT